GTGCTTCCTACTCCACCATCTTCCCAGAATCTTCTCCAATCCAAAGCCTTTTGCACAACAGTGGGTGAAACAGTCGGGGAGTGAAGAAGGGAACTTCCCAGGACTCCTTGACACAGGAGCCCCACTCACCACTCATTGTGGTACCAAAACCTGTTGGTGAAGCCCTGGCTTGGCGGCAATTAGATTGAGAAAACAGAACTAGAAGTGCAAGAGTTCATGAGACTATGGAAGTTGGAATGTTTAAACAGCCTTTATGTAAAGAAGCTGTGTCTCCTTTACCTATTGTTTTATGGGAATGGATATTATGTCCTGCTGGGAATATTTCCCCTACCTGGTATTGTAAACTCCAAACCTGTAGATGGAGTCCTAGCGGAGGCCACATCTAGGAATGTAAGGGTCGATTGAATTAAGGTAAAAGTTCTACTAACTGGAATTCTACTAATTGGAATACTCCATCAGACTTTCTGTGAAGTGCCTCTTTTACCTGAGTGCAATTACAGGGATTGACACTGTATCTGACTGGGGAATGTTTCCCTAACTAGTACTGTGAAACAGAAGGTGTGCAAATCCTCCCTTCAAGCAAGGTTACTTGGACGTGCTAAACAGGAACCAGTAAGATTGCCCGACTCTACACAGCGTTGAATAGAAGGTGGGGTGCTGGCAGGGACAGAGTCTCTGTGCGGTAGACCTATGTGGATTGTAGACTGGGGCTTAAGGCAAAAGCCTGTGAGCACCCCCCAGCGATGACTACTGGGACTTTCAACTGGAGAGTTTCCAGGGTTATTTACTATCTTGTTTTTAGACATTAATTTAAGCTACCCCATGACTGAAGGACATAAAATGATCTTAAAACCTGAAATACCCATTACGTCTAGGGTGATGTCAGAGAAATGCTCTAATGGGGATGGCAGAACCCAGAAGAGTTCCATCTTAAGATGGAAATGGTTTTCACAAGATGGTGCTGCCTGGGGAGACCCTCACGAGGAGGGAGCCTCTCTTCTCTGAGGACTGAATCCGGATCTGTGTGAGCAGCTCTGGATTCCACCACTTGGACAGTGAGTGCCCTATTAACAGCTCTCGACTGACCAACAAGAAGATGCTTCGTTTGTGGACAGCAGTTCCAAGGTGAACAGACAACCTCCTCTTTGGAAGGCCACCACTGTGATCAAAGAATGTGAAAACAGATCAGTCTGGTGGGCTGAACTGCAAGCTGTTTTCCTAGCCATGATGGGAGAATTGGCAGTGGTGAAATTCCATATGTTTTGGTTTCTGCGGACTCACGGTCAGGCAGGAGGGCAACGGAAACCTGGCCTGTTAAAGGGATGCCTAGGGAATTCCCTGATGGTCTAATGGTTAGGACTCTGCGATTCCACTGCAGGGGACACTGGTTTGATCCCTGGTCGGGGAACAAATATCCCACATGCAGCACAGCGTGGCCAAAAAATAATTATAATAATTAAAAATAAATAAATAAAATTATGCCCACATGGGACACAGCCCCGTGGAAATAACTATGGAAATTTGAGGGGTGCTTGAAAGTAGGACATGGCACATCAATGTCCATCCTTGGAACTCCCTTCCAACTTAATAAGCAGAGATTCCTATGTGTTCCCTTAAGGTGGCTGCCACCTGGGCCCATGAGATAAATGGACACGGGGTCCCTACAGCAATGCCGAGTTGGGCTGAATCTGGACATGGTCCTCTTGTACCCCCTGAGGCACGAAATGCCAATAAGAGCTGTTTTGTCAACAAGCAAGAGACAGAGAATGGAGATAGTTATGTGGCAGATTCCCTGGGGGGAAGGCCTGGATCGTAACTGGCAAGTGAGACTAATGCTGGTATCCCTGAGGGGTACAGATGGGTCCTGCCGGGAATAGACACCAATTCTGGACTGGGCTTTGCTTAGCTGGTGGTAGATGCAAATGCTCAGAATAATATAAAAGAACTGGAACAGAAGATATTGTGACAATTTGGGTGGCCAATCATCATTTCTTCAGACCAAGGACCCCACTTTATAGCCCATAATGTCCAGAGTACTAGTTTGGTAGAGAATTGGAGCAAGCAGTTAAAGCATTAGTTGTTTAAAATGGGACAATTAAAGAGCTGGCTTATACTCCTCCCTGTGTAACACAGGTATGAGTGCGGCCAAAGGAGTGTCCCCACTGGGTAGATGTCTCTGTTTTTATGGTGGATCTGGGGAAGACAGGTGGGGAGAAATGCTGGTAAGACTATGTAGTTTTTCCCAAGGGAGGAGGATGCTCATATAACAACTCATTTTTTTTCTCTTTCTTTCTTCCCCACATCATCACAACTTTTTTTCTTCCTACCTGGTTCCATGACCAGGGCTGCAAATACAAGTGCCCCAAACAGTGATGATTCCTAAATAAGAAATTGCAACTATACTTCAAACCTTATGTCAGAATTCCTACGAGACTGATGGGGCAGGATGTGCCTTCACCTCCTCTGACAAAATTGGCATTGACAGTGAATGCAGCTATAGTGATGCTGGTAAAGATAGCCCACCAGTTCTGCACCTGTGTGACCTCAACCTCTGTGGACCGAGGGGGAGGCACCGACTAGACTAGTATAGCTGCCTGCAATCTGGACCAGCACAGTGGCCGAACCTAACGTCCCTTCCAAAGGTGGAAGCATTTGGGTGTCAATGTAGAGAAGGAGGAACAGTAGCTAAGGGTAAAGTAATGGATAAATGAATTATGTCATGAGGGAAATCCAGTATTACATTAACACCTTGAAAGAGGCTCAGAGCAAGAGATGATATTCTCTGTTATCTCGATTATACCAGATGCCTGGAAGGGTGAAGCCATATGTGCCAAGACCACTCCTGCTTTTGGAACCTGACAAGATCAGACGGAAACTCGAGACCCTAAGCGGCTTCACCCTGGCAGACACTTTCATATGATATGATGATGGACTGGAGTGATTGCTGACGGCATGGGATTCTGTAACATGCCAGTATCTTTCAAGTTGCATATTGTTTTGCTGTAAAGGTTCCATGGCTAGACAAGGGGGTGGGCTGCGAAATAATAGAAAATATGTCTTTTGGTCTCTGCCCTTGGTTCCTGGAACAGAATTCCTAAAACCCTTGTGATTTCCTAAGTGATAAGAGTACTAGGAGCATCTTTTGTTCTAATATTTGGTCTCTGTCCCCAGTTTCCGACCCAGGGCTCCTAAATCCATCAGAATTTCCTGGGTGATAGGGGTGTCTTTTGTTCTAATGAGGTGACTCTGGGTGGGCTTCTCAATAGCTCCTGGATGGGGGCTGGTCACCTGAGGCTTGGAACTTTCAGTCCCACCTCTCATGCTCCAGGGAGGGAAGAGGGGCTGGATATTGTTAATAATTAATCATGCCTACGTGATGAGCCTCCATAAAAATCCCCAAAGTATGAGGTTCAGAGAGCTTCTGGGTTGGTGAACACATCTACATGCCAGGAGGGTGGCGCACTCCAACTCCACGGGGACAAAAGCTCCTGGGCTGGGGACCCTTCCAGACCTTGCCCGATGTATCTCTTCATCTGGCTGTTCATCTATATTCCTTATCCTATTTTTTTATTACATAAAAAGCTGGTAAATGTAAGTAAGTGTTTCCCCCAGTTCTGTGAGTTGTTCTAGCAAAGATTATCAAGTCCAAGGAGGGGGAAGTCATGGGAACCTCTGATTTGTAGCCAGGCAGAACCTGGGGTGACCTGGAGACCTCCTACTTGTGATTGGTATCTGAAATAGGGGGCAGTCTCGTGGGACTGAACCCTTAACCTGCGGGGTCTTCAATAACTCTGGTTACTATCAGAATTGAAAAATCGTAGGACACCCAGCTGGTGTCACAGAGAATTGCCCGATGTGAGGAAAAACCCCACACATCTGGTGTCAGATGTTAAACATTGTGAGTGTGGTTGTGTGTGAGAGCAAAGGAGAAACACCAGGAGAAGGAGTGGACGTTTTTATTGCATAGGGGATCCATTATGGACTGAACCAGTGTCCCTAAATTTGTATGTTGAAGTCCTAATCCCCAGTCAAAATGTGGGGATTTGGAGATAGGCCTTTAAAGAAGTGATTAAGGTAAAATGAGGCCATTAGGGTGGGCCCTCATCCAATGTGATTGGTGTCTTTATGAGAAGAGGGGATATGGACCGCAAAGAGACACCAAGGCTGCGTGGGCACAGAGGAAAGACCACGTGAGGACACAGGGACAAAACAACCACCTGCAAGGTGAGAAGAGAAGCCTGGAAAAATCGACGTTGCCTGCACCTTGATCTTGGACTTCCGGCCTCCAGAACTGTCAGGAAATAAATTTCTCTCGTTGTTCAGGCCACCTGGTCTGTGGTAGTTTGTTATGGCAGCCCCAGCGGATCAGCACAGGATCTCAGTGTTTTAGTTTGCATCTCTAGCTTGCTAATCCTGCTCACTATTTATTTTGTTTAAAACACACATGGGGTCCTGTGGCTGCCCTGCTTGCGCCACAGACTGAGCTCTTTCACTCAGCCGCCCTCGCCAGGAAGTCCACCCCCACCTTCATCCTCATCCTTCTCCAGCTGCTCGGCCTCCCAGCACCCGGCTCCCCGGGGGGCGCGAGGGGCGGCTGTGCCTCCGGGATCTCCTCCTATTCACCCCTCCTCCGCCCTGCGCTCCCGGCCCGGGGCCGACGCTCCAGCTCCTGCGAGCATGTTACTGGATTTTTAAATGCCTAGTACCTGCCCCGAAGTAGCCCCCGGGTCTGGGATCTAGAGTTGCTAGGACCACCGCGTAGGAAGCAGAGACCCGCGCAGCCCACGTGATTGGGGGAATGAATTCGGTGGCCACAGGCAGCCGCACGCGCGCACACGGGGACCGCGGGCGGAGATGGGCGGGGGGCGTGCCAGGGCCCCGCGGAGGGGGAAGCGGCCCAGCCTCCCGCCGCCCGGAAATCCCCCCTGCGCTTGGCCGGCCGAGCGTCCTGGGGTCTCCGGGAAGGGCGCCTGGGGGAAGGGGAGGACCCCGAGCCGCCCCTCCCCCGGGCCCGGCTTCGAGGATCTGAGAAAGCAGAAGCGAGCGGCGCTCCGGAGAGTCCCACCGGAGCCGGGATCTGGGAAGAGAAACTTGCGGGCGGGGCTGGGGCCGCGCCCCGCGATCTGTGTAGCGCTCGGAGGAGAGGTCCTGGGTCCAGGAGGAGTCCTGCGTCACCACCCGGCCCGCCTCGTCTCGCTGGAAGACCGAAGATCCGGCCCTTTCCCCTGCTGCGCCGTCTTCGCCTAGTGGGTTGCGCCTGACCCGCCCCTCCCCGCCGGGCCCGCCGCTCCACTCCGGAGGAGGGGCCGTCGGCGCGGACAGGACCGGCCCGCATCCCCGAGAGGCGGCCGTCGCGGACCCGGAGCCCGAGCTTCCACCCCCTTCCCGCACCCTCTCAACTCTGCCGGCCCTCCGCTGGACGCCCCTGTGCCCCCCGCATCGTGCCTCCCAGGGTCCCGGATCCCCGAGCGGCCCCCCATCCCCTCGCCCACTCCTCGTATCCCGCGCCGGGTCCCCTGAGCCAATCTGGGCCCCTGATCTCCACCCCCGGATCCCCAGGGCGGCGCGGGTCAGGTCCCCTCGAGCTCCGCCGGCTGCCAGGGCAGGACCGCGCTATGCTCCGGCTCCTGGCGCTGTTGCTCCCGCTGCTGCCGCCGCCCGCGCGCGCCCGGGAGCCCTCCGCGCAGGACGTGAGCCTGGGCGTGGTGAGTGCCGGGGTTCGCGGGCTCCTGGACCTGCAGGGGTCTGGGAGAGGGAAGCCGGGGCCTGGGCTCCCGGGTTCAGAGGAAGCTGGGGGCGGTTCAAATGTCCAAAGAGTGACCGGGGATGGAGACAGGGGACCCGAATTATTGGATCCGTCAGGAGGTTCGGGGCCCGAATTTGGAAATCTGGAAAGGGGCTATGGTCGGGAGGTGGGGACTCTTGGGAACAGATGAACAAGGGCAAGCCCAGGGCTGGAGGGCCTGTACCTTGAGATGGGGAGCAGGCCAGTACCCGGGGCTGAGGACTCTGGACTATCCATGTCTGGTGAGAGGTGGGGCTTCCAGGATGGTGGTGGGAAGGGAAAGTCCCATCTCTTCGACCTTTCCTGCTTCCCCTGTTCCCTCCTCTGGTCTAGGACTGGCTGACCCGCTATGGCTACCTGCCGCCACCTCACCCTGCCCAGGCCCAGCTGCAGAGCCCTGCAAAGCTGCGGGATGCGATCAAGGTCATGCAGAGGTTTGCGGGTCTGCCGGAGACAGGCGTCCTGGGTATGTGGCCCCCATCCCCTTCCCCAGCCCAGCCTCCGCACCCAGCCCGACCGTTGTTGCCCACCCAGCCAACCGCAGTTTCTAAACCTCCCGTGTATCTGAATCACGGGCGCTATGAAATACTGACCTCAGGTCCCAATTCGGAGGTTCTAAGATATTCCTCTTTCAGTAAGTATTTATCAGGAATCTCTTCTTGATAAATGACATGTGAGGTCATTTCAGGCTCCACTGGTATAGTGAACAAGGTAAATGAGGTCCCTGCTCTCTCGGAGCTAACATTCTAGAGGGAGACACACACAGATCAAGAACAGAAATATGCAAACTAATTTCAGATAGTGGTGAGCATTCTGATGAAAATAAAATGCTAATGGTATTCAGGGAGCTGGTCTGGGCAGGGCAGGCCCCTCTGAAAGATGTCATATGAGTTGGGAGGAGCTCATACGACTTGAAGAATTCGTAGGACACAAAGAGGAGGAAACAGCCATGGGAAGATGTGGGAAAAGTGTCCCAGGCAAGTGCAAAGGCCCTGTGGCAGACACTGGCTTGCATGCCTGTAATGAAAGGAGGACTGATGAGCTAAATAAGAGCCTGATCAGGGGCCGTGAAAGGTGTTTTGGTTTGATTTCAAGTGTGATAAGAAACCCTGAGCGGGTTTGAGGGAGAGAGGCAACTTGATGTGATTTGCAATTTTTTTTTTTTTTTTTTTTTTTTTGTGATTTGCAATTTTAAGCTTCCTCTGCTTACTGCTGGAGAATGGAGGGTGGGGAGCACCCAGACCAGGAAGGAGGCACATAGTGTTCAGGCAACAATGTGATGAGACACAGCTGAATCCAGGGTGTATATTTTGGAGGTAGAGCTGAGAGGCTCATCTGTTGGGTTAAATGAAAGGAAGAGAGAGGTGGAGGGGTCCTGTCCAGCTACGAGGGGAGGTAGGACCCTTTGGGCAACAGGATGTGCTCAATTGCTTTTTTTTTTTTTTTTTTTGCGGTACGCGGGCCTCTCACTGTTGTGGCCTCTCCCGTTGCGGAGCACAGGCTCCGGACGCGCAGGCTCAGCGGCCATGGCTCACGGGCCCAGCCGCTCCACGGCATGTGGGATCTTCCCGGACCGGGGCACGAACCCGTTTGGCCGCATCGGCAGGCGGACTCTCAACCACTGCGCCACCAGGGAAGCCCTCAATTGCTCCTTTTCACCTCAACCTTCACTTGGAGTGAGGGGACGGCTGGGGATGGAGCCAAGTTGGTAAAGGGGATTCCAGGAGATCTGACCTAGGAGGGGCTTGCCACAGACCAGAGACCCAGCTGGCCTGAGGACTTTCAACTTTATCTGGATGTGATGGGGACTTGGGAGCTAGCGTGTGAGGTATGGGCAACCTCCCAAGGGTTCCAGCCTCCAAGAGAGTAGTTCTCACTGCACCCCCAGGGTTCCTTTCTCTAGAGGCCAGCGGCCAGGGCTCAGGGAAGCAGGATGCCCAGATCCTGGCCTGAGACTCTGGAGTCCATGCAGGGCCGTGCAGAGAGTGACACTACCCAGAAGGGCAGTGTCATAGTCTGGTATGAGCTAGCTTCCAGAATTAGATGGCCTGGGCTCCAATCGAAGATGTGGGGCCTTCTTGGGCAAGTGTTTGAAGTGCTATGAGACTCAGTTTCCCCATGGAGAAAGTGAGCTGGTGCCTACTGGTGACCCCCCTCTGCCACAACCTCTCCCCCAGACCCTGTGACAGTGGCCACCATGCATAAGCCCCGCTGCTCCCTGCCTGATGTGCTGGGGGCGGCGGGGCTGGTCAGGCGGCGCCGCCGGTATGCTCTGAGTGGCAGCGTGTGGAAGAAGCGAACCCTGACGTGGAGGTAGGTCCTGGCGCCCTCTCCCACCCTGGGCCTGCCTGACCCAGCTTCGAGTGAGTGGCTGCCTTCTCTCTCCTTGGCCCCCCTCACTCGCCCCTTCTCTTTCCAGGGTAAACTCCTTCCCCCAGGGCTCAATGCTGAGCCAGGAGACAGTGCGGACCCTCATGCACCATGCCTTGACCACCTGGGGTGTTGAGTCAGGCCTTGAATTCCAGGAAGTGGGTTCTCAGGGCCCGATGGAGCCTGATATCCTCATCGACTTTGCCCGGGCCTATCACCAGGACAGTTACCCCTTCGACGGGCAGGGGGGCACCCTCGCCCATGCCTTCTTCCCTGGGGAGCACTCCATCTCTGGGGACACTCACTTCGATGATGAGGAGACCTGGACTTTTGGGTCAAAAGGTACACTCTCCCCTCTTCTGAGAGATCCTCTCCCCAGATCTGTCTGTCCTTAAGAATTAAGTTTAAATTACCTTTATTTATGGAGGCTGTATCAGTTGGGCTTCTCCAGAGAAATAGAATCAGTTGGGTGTGTGTGTGTGTGTGTGTGTGTGTGTGTGTGTGTGTGTAGAAAGTGATTTATTTTAAGGAATTGGCTCATAGGATTGCAGAGGCTGGTAAGCCCAAAATCTGTAGGGCAGGCCTGCAAGCTGGAAATTCAGGTGACTTGGTGGTGCACTTCTGAGTCTGGTATTTGCAGAACAAGCCAGCTGGAAACCCAGGCAGGATTTCTATGTTGCAGTCTTTGAGGCAGAATTCCTTCTTCTCCAGGAAACCTCAGTTTTCGTTCTTAATGCCTTCAACTGATTAGACGAGGCCCACCCACGCTATGGAGGGTGATCTGCTCTACTTACTGTCAATTGAATATAGACATTATCCATGTCTATAAAATAACCTCCACAACAATATCTAGACTGGTGTTTGATCAAGCACCGGGGCGCCATAGTCTGGCCGAGTTAACACAGAAAATTGCCCATCACAGAGTCCTGTTAGATGCTCAGCTCCAAGGCAGGGCTGAGGACTTAAAGGGGCAAAAACACAGCTCTGCCAGCAGCTGAGTCAGAAGAGTAACTGGCAGTTGCTACACATGGTGACACAACCACGGGGAATCACAAAAGAGGATGTCCTCAAGCCTGGGGGTGCTCAAAGGAAGGCTGATCCAAAGCTCTTGAGTGCCGGGGACTTCCTGGAAGTGGTGACTTTGTTTGTTCCACACATATGTACTGAGTGCCAACTAGTGCCCGAGGTCCCACTCTCCCGGCGTATGCAGGGCAGGGGTGGGGGTGGGGGTGGGGGAGAGGGGACACGTAAGAAAGCACAAGCCAGTGAGCTCTCTGAGGCCAGGGGAGTCAGGGGTGGGAGCACTGTGGGGAGAAACGGCCTGGGACATTTGGGGCTGGAAGGCAAAAATATGGTGTTGGGAGGGGACTACAGAGGCTGGAAGGCAGGTCTCACACCACGAGGGGTCTTGGACAGCACATGGTGGGGTCTGGATGATAGGATTCTGAAGGCAGTGGGAACTGTGGAAGGTTTTGCATTCTAGAAATACCACTGGCTGCCGTTGGGGGCAAGATAGGGACAGGGAGGCAGGAAGCTATCTTGGGGTCCAGGTGAGAGATGGTGGAGGGGATGGGAGTGGGGGCAGAGGGCAGTGGGCAGCTCTGAGGGGAGTCTAGTCAGGATGGGCAAAGATTGGGATCTGACTGGGTTCTAGGGGTGAAGGGGGGTGAGGATGGTTGGGTACCAGCCAGGTTTCTGGCTCAAGGCCCCTGGAGGATGGTGTCCTGTTAATGCAGGTGGGAAGTGGGGGAGGAGGAGGAGCAGACTCGGGAAGGCAGGGGTGAGCTCAGGTTGGGACGTGTGCCTGCAGTGCTGGTTGGCTGGTCAGTGCAGGTGGTGCATTAGTGGTCGGGTATCTTGCACTAGAATTTGGATTCCTCCAACTTAGGTCAGGTTCCCCAGAACTGGAGCTTGAGAGGAAAATTCTTGTGCAAGCAGCTTTTGGGGGCATGTTCTCAGGGGAAAGGGAAGCAGGAGAGGACTGGGGAAAGAAGCTAAGCAAGGATGTGGTCTCAGCTGGACAGGAGCCTGACCCCACAGGGAACACTGGAGCATAAATGATGCCACAGGGCTGGTTCTGCCTGGAGGAAGGGGGCCCAGCTCTTCCAGCCCCCTGCTCCCCACATCGATCAGCCACTGGCTGCAGACTGCTCAGGGAAGGGGAGGCTGGGCCAGGAGGGAGAGCCATTTCCTGGGGAAGGGGGTGGCCGGAGGATGGGCACACAGGCTCTGTAGAGGATTTGGGTGAGGTGCAGATCACATAGATAGACAAATCCACCATAGGGAGGCTGTGTAATGCAGCATTTAAGATCTCCGGGTTGAAGTGGAACTCGAGCCAGGGTTCTTCTGCCTGCTGCGTGTATTAGTTACTTGACCTCAATGTGCTCAGTTTCCTCATCTGAGAAGTGGGGATAATAATAGTATGTGCTGGTCCCATGGGCTTGCAGATTAGACGAATAATTCACCTACAGCTCTCAGCACAGAGCAGGCTGTTCACTGCCAGCTGCTATGAGCTGGGTCTGGTGGCAGATTTGAGAGTTGGCAGTACTTGGGGGTAAGGCTCCAGGAGCATGTAGAATGTGACGATCAAGTTCAGAGCTGTGGGGCGTCCCACAATTAAGAGGAGGGTGGCAGGGAAGGAGGAATGAAAGGAAATGGAGAAAAACCAGGCTGAGGGCTTCCCTGGTGGCGCAGTGGTTGAGAGTCCACCTGCTGACGCAGGGGACACGGGTTCGTGCCCTGGTCCGGGAAGATCCCACATGCCGTGGAGTGGCTGGGCCTGTGAGCCATGGCCGCTGAGCCTGTGCGTCCGGAGCCTGTGCTCCACAATGGGAAAGGCCACAACACTGAGAGGCCCGCGTACCACAAAAAAAAAAAAAAAAAAACAGGCTGAAAGGTGACCAAGAACAAAAGCAAAGGAGGAAGTGGACAGGAGTGAGCAGGGCAGCAAATCATCCAGTAAGTTATTTATGCCTGGATCTGGCCCTCTGGGGAAAAAGTGACCTTAGTGCCCATAGGCTTGGTGGGTGGCGGGAGAATCTAGACCACAGAGGCGTGAGAGGAGCTGAGGAATTGAAGGCTGAGTTCAGACCACTGACCAGAGAACTTGTTGGGGAGGGAGAAGGGATATGGATGGGGGGCAGACAGGTCCAGGGGGTGTCTTAGGATGAGGGAGTCTTGAGCACTCAGGGACAGTGGATGAGCCAATAGAAAGAAAGGGGTGGGGGATGGGTGCATGGATCATGGATTAATGGATGGATAAATGGATGGATGAACGGACACACGGATGGATGGATGGACAGCTGGATGCATGCATGCATGAATGCAGTGATGAACGGATGGGTGGGGCATTGTCCTTGTCCTGGAGGAGGTGAGCGAGGCAAGGACCTCCGCCCAGGGCACGGCAAGAGGCAGGAGGTGAGCTGGGGGAGATGAAGCGCTGTGCCCGATGCACAGGAAGTTACAGATTACATCAGCGGCCTGTCTTGATGAAATAGGAAATGCATTTGTCAGCATTTGTCATCTAAGAGTTGGGAGCTGGGGCTGGAGCTGGGTAGCAGGCTGAAGGGGCTATGAGTCTGGAATTGAAGCTGAGTGGAGAGAGCAAAGGAGCTGCCTGCTGAGGCTGTGGGCAAGGATGCGAGGAGGTGCTGAGGACCCCCAGAGATGGGCACCGGGAGTCTCATGTGGCTGGATCTGCATGGTTGTGTAATTTCCCCAGCTGAATAGCGTGAGAAGGGTGCGAGAAAGGGGTGCGGCCAAAGGAGAGGCAAGGCGGGGTGGGGGGGAGTGGTGAGATATGAAAAAGATCTACCCAATTAAGATACCAAACGTCCTGTCCTCCAATTTCTTAGAAAAAGCACTCAGTGCAGTGAGAAAATCCACAGTCAACATGGGAATTCATCAGTACTTACGAGTTTGACCAAGACATCTGAAATCATTGCTGAGCTGCAGGACAGCACAGCCAGGGTACCAGCTCTGTCATTTAACTTGACCTCTCTGTGCCTCAGTTTCCTCACTTGTAAAATGGGGATAGGAGGTAGAGGTTTGTGAAAAGTAAATGGGGACAAGTGTTTGCTACTCTGCTTATGACTCACTCATTTCATCCTTAGATTCTCGCCTAGTGGCCTTGAGGGGTGGAGAGAAATTTGCTTTTCAGTTCACCAGGTTACTTCCAATAAACCCACATGCAGCACTGCTCACTCTAGTTAGAAATTTCCATGAAGTAGATCAACATCTGGGGAAATCCGTACCTCCAGGCGGGGCTGCTTGCCTCTCTTGCTGTCTCTGTCCCTCCTTGGCCTCTCACTGGCTCAGGAATCGATGAGGCGCTGGGGTTTGGCCAGCAGCTGAGAGTGTGGAGAGGCTCGGTCCTGGCACCTGGGCTGTGTCCCCAAGGAAGAGGCTTCTGTGGTCAGAGAGGCTGGGCGCCAGGGCTAGCAGGCTGTGGTTGGAGAGTCCCTGCTGGAGCTTTGTGTTCTGAGAGGGATGAAGTCTGCAGTGGTGGGGAGGGAAGGCGAGGACCCCAGGGAGGTGGGGGTGGGGGTGGAGGCTGTGGGAGAGGGAGATGGGGGAGGGGAAATAGAGGACTGAGGGGTTGTGGGCACTGGGGGGGGCGGTGAACCCGGGACGGCAGACCATGGGGCGGGAGTGGGGCCATGGAGTCTGACCAACATTCCCCATGGGTGGGAGTGGGAAGGGTTCGGAGGGGTGGGGGGCCTCTGCCAACAGAGTGGAGCTGTGAGAAGGGTACTCCAAGGGCTGGAGCTCCCTTAAGAGAACTGCACACACCCTAAGGCTCCTGATTCCCCCAGAATGTTTCTGTATGTTGCCTTCTTGGGGGAAGGGGCTTCGTCAGTGTAAAGCTGCTCCTTCCTCTATTCACACTGTTTCCTCCTGCTCTTCCCCCAACCTGCTCTGTGGCTCTTTTCAGACTGGCACTCCAGTATCTAGCACGGCCAAACAAGGCTACTCAAGAACATTTACCAAATAAGTGAATGCAGAGAGGAAGGATAAAATGGCTGGGGGGGTGGGGGCGGGTGTCCGGGTAGAGGAGGCCATGGCCACCTCTGAGGGTCTCCTGGCTGTTTCTGCCCAGCAGAAGGCCCCATTCCCCAGGGCCTGGGGGTGCTAGGGGTGGGGGTGGGGCACAGCTCCAGCCCATTCTCCCTCCCTCCCCAGATGGCGAAGGGACGGACCTGTTTGCCGTGGCTGTTCATGAGTTTGGCCACGCCTTGGGCCTGGGCCACTCCTCAGCGCCCAACTCCATCATGAGGCCCTTTTACCAGGGCCCGGTGGGCAACCCCACCGAGTACCGCCTGTCCCAGGACGACCTCGAAGGCCTGCAACAGCTCTACGGTACAAGGAGCGATGGGGCGCTCGCCGGGTAGCCTCTGCAGCAGGGTCAGGGGACTCACCGCTCTCTAACGGTTTCTCCACAGGGAAAGCACCCCAAACCCCACTTGACAAGCCCACAAGGAAACCCCTGGCTCCTCCTCCCCCGCCCCCTGCCCTGCCCCCGGACAGGTGAGTATCTCTTCTGCTGTGAGGCCTTGGGTGAGCTCCCTAACCTCAGGGTCCTCCTACACGAGATGGGCAGGTAAGAGTCCTTGCCTTGTAGGATGCCGTCCAGGTTAAGTAAAGGGAGAGGGGCCCCCCAACCCTCTCTGTTCACCTCTCTTTTCCTTCCCAGCCCCTCCCAACCCGTTCCTGATCGATGTGATGGCCATTTTGACGCCATCGCCAACATCCGAGGCGAAACTTTCTTCTTCAAAGGTAAGTGACTTCGGACCTCCCCGACCCCATATAGTTGGCTTCCTACCCACTTACAGTGACCCGCCCGCCGGGGCTGTGAGGTTCGCAGGGATACGGGACTTTCAGTGCTAAAAAGGGGAAAGCCCTGGATCAGCCGGTCACCCTAGAGCCACTGCAGCCTTGATTTTCAGATGGACCTGCCCAACCTGCGGTGGGAGGGGAAACCTAGCGCTGTGTTCGAGCCACACACTGCAGGGGGGGTTGGGGAGGAGACCTCCTGCCGTCTCATCTCACGCCCACATGCCCACCCCTTCTTCCCCCGTAGGCCCGTGGTTCTGGCGCCTCCAGCCCTCGGGACAGCTGGTGTCCCCCCGGCCCGCCCGGCTCCACCGCTTCTGGGAGGGGCTGCCGGCCCAGGTGAAGGTCATCCAGGCCGCCTACGCCCGGCATCCGGACGGCCGGATCCTTCTCTTCAGCGGTGAGTGGGGCTCGAGGCGTGGCTGGCTCCGGGCATGCGCAGCGCCGCTCACTGCCCCCCCCCCCCACCCACTCAGGTCCGCAGTTCTGGGTGTTCCAGGACCGGCAGCTGGAGGGCGTCGCGCGGCCGCTCACGGAGCTGGGGCTGCCCCCGGGAGAGGAGGTGGACGCCGTGTTTTCTTGGCCGCTGAACGGGAAGACCTACCTGATCCGGGGCAGGCGGTACTGGCGGTACGACGAGGCCGCAGCGCGCCCGGACCCCGGCTACCCGCGCGACCTGAGCCTCTGGGAGGGGGCACCGCACGCCCCCGACGACGTCACCGTCAGCAACACAGGTGGGAGAGAGCGCCCGCGGGGAGAGGCCGAGGGATGGGGAGCTAGAGGACGTCCCGGGGTTTTGGAGAGCCCTGGGGAGAGAAGCTGCACGGGGGGAGGGGCAGGCCTGGACCAGCCCCTGAAGCATCTGCTCCCTCCCCGCAGGTGACACCTACTTCTTCAAGGGCGCCCACTACTGGCGCTTCCCCAAGGGTAGCGTCAAAGCCGAGCAGGACTCCCCCCAACCAATGGGCCCTAAGTTTCTGGACTGCTCCGCCCCCAGACCCCCCAAAGCGACCCTTAAGCCAGGAGCCTGCGACTGTCAGTGCGAGATCAGTCAGGCGGCAGGGCGGCCGTCCGTGCCCCCCCTGCTGCCCCTTCTGCCCCTGCTGGTGGCGGGCTTCGCCTCCCGCTGAGGGGGGACCGCCCGCCACACGGAAGGGACCAGATCTCCCACCGCGGGCCCTTTGTCCCCGGAGGCGGAGCTCAGCGAGGATGCACCTGGGCGGATGCGGGTGGAGTTAAGCCCTGGGAAGGCCAAGAGGTGGTGACAGGACTAGCCCTGGCACTGAATGCCCCACTTGTTTGGCCTCCTAGTTCTCTCCTTCCCCTCCCCTGGCAACCCGGACTCCGGCCTGGCTTCGACCCCGCAGGACTCTTATTTTCCCGGAATACCTAGCCTTTCCCGGAGCTCAGCCGGCTGACTCCCTGCAGCCTTGGACCCGCCTGACAACAGCAGCTGTCCCAAGCTGTTCGGGTCTTTACAGGACAGGCCTGCCCGGGACGCTGAACCCCAGGCTGGCTCTCCTCCTGCTGCTCTGACGTTTCTCACCCTGCCCTGCTTCCATGAAGTCCCAGTCAAGCCATATTGGTGGGGACCCCAAACCCAGCCCTGAGACCACCCCTGAGCACTAGTGTCCCAAGTTCTGGGTGGACCTTCTTTTTAGTCACCACGCTGGTACCAGAAATGCCTACGTTCAATAGGACACCATCCTGTTCCTAAAACGCCTCTCCCCACCTCCACACCTGAGCCTCTGCCACCTCCTTCTGAACTGCTTGGCTCCGTCAGCTCAATGCTGGTGGAAAGACAGTGGACTGGTCCCTTCTCAGTCCAGGGCCACTGGCTCCTCAGCTTTCCTGGGTGATGAGTGGGTGGAACCTGGGCCACCTCATTGACCCCACTGCAACCTCCCCCCTGCCCACTATCCACAGAATTCAGGATCTAAATCAGTGCCTCTGCAACTATGCTTTTGGAATATTACACAACAGAATGACCCACTAAACTTAAAAATGCAGATTCCATGCCCTCGCACTGAATGCTCACTCTGGGCCTGGGGCCATGAATCTGCATTTGAACAAGCTGGGGTCGGGGTGGGGGTGGCCCTGCTGGGCAAGGGAGCTGGGCCAGCAGCTGTCATCTCTGTGTCTCTGCCTTGTGGCTTTTCTGTGTCTCTGCCATGTTCTCTCTCCCAGGGGCCAACCCCTTCCTGTTGTCTACAAAGCCCAGCTGATGGCCTTGGTTGAGAGAGGTCCACCCCCCATGTGTGGAGTCACTTAGCAGCCACTTCTTTGGTTGGTACCCAGCTTCAGCGGCCCCACAGTGCTGCCCAGAGCTGAGGCCAGTGGGGATGTTGCCCACCTTGGTCACGAGCAGGAGACCAGTAGGAGGGCGACAGCCAGGTGTCTTCAACCAGCCTGGGACCTGAAAATTCAAGGCCACCAGAAAGCCATCTGGGCCTCTGTTAGGATCCTTGTGAAGTATGAGGAGGAGGAAACTTGTATTTGAAGAGCTTGTCAGCCCCACCAGGAGGACAATAAAAATGACGGGAGAGAAAGCCCTTCGTTTCTTCTGAGCACTGATGGAGCTGGGGTGAAGTTCGGTGGCAAGAACTTGACAGACCCAAATCACTCTGATTTGCAGAAGAGGTTGGAATCCAGCGTTGATGGGAGACAGGGTGGATGAGAATGAATGGGAGGAGGAACCCAAAAGTTGGTTGAAGGGAGCCCAGAGGAGGGATGTCCCATGTGAAATTTGAGGCTGCTTTCACTGCTACAATGGAAACTTCTTCTGCAGCCTTTAAGACTTCATTAAGTCTGCTACACAAAAATGCCACATTAAATTGAATTATATTATTTAAAGAACAGTACAGTCCCATAATAAAAATGTAAAACTTTTGTGTTTCAAAGGAGGCCATCAGAAAAGTGAAAAGTCACCCCAGACACCCTTGTCCCTTGTATACCCCCTTCTTCATACACTCTCTCCCTAAATGCAGATTCTTTAGGTCCAAACAGGCAGAGCTTCAGACTGCAAGTCAGCTCTTCCAAAATGACCCTGCAGCAAACACTGCAGGATTCCACCCAATGGGGTCTCTGGAGTCAACAACTTAGGGACCGAAGTGGATGTTGTTGCCAGGGGCAGTGGGAGGGGATGGGGAGTGAGAATTTCATGGTTGCGGAATTTTGGTTTTACAAGATGAAAAGTTCTAGGGATGGTGGTGATGGCTCCACGAGAAGGTGAATATATCTGATGCCTCAGAAACGTGCATTTAAAATGGTGATGGTAAAGGGTATGCGACATGTGTTTTATTTCACGTACAATAAATTCTTAAAAAAAAAAAAGTGAAAAGATTGGGGAAATTTTTTTTTTTGTGATACGCGGGCCTCTCATTGTTGTGGCCTCTCCCATTGCGGAGCACAGGCTCCATACGCGCAGGCTCAGCGGCCATGGCTCACGGGCCCAGCCGCTCTGCGGCATGTGGGATCTTCCCGGACCAGGGCACAAACCCGTATTCCCTGCATCGGCAGGCGGACTCTCAACCACTGTGCCACTAGGGAAGCCCGGGGAAAAATTTTTTGCAAATGATATATGTGATAAGGGACTTTTATCCAATATATATACACTACCCTGACAACAATAAAAAGACAACTCAATTTTAAAATGGGCAAATGGGGCTTCCCTGGTGGTGCAGTGGTTGAGAATCCACCTGCCAATTCAGGGGACACGGGTTCGAGACCTGGTCTGGGAAGATCCCACATGCCGCAGAGCAACTAAGCCCATGAGCCACAACTACTGAGCCTGCGTGTCTGGAGCCTGTGCTCCGCGACGGGAGAGGCCGCGACAGTGAGAGGCCCGCGCACCACAATGAAGAGTGGCCCCCGCTCGCCACAACTGGAGAAAGCCCTCGCACAGAAACGAAGACCCAACACAGCCAAAAATAAATAAATAAATTTAAAAATGGGCAAAGGGACTTCCCTGGTGGTCCAGTGGCTAAGACTCCATGCTCCCAATGCAAGGGGCCCTGGTTCAATCCCTAGTCAGGGAACTAGATCCCACAAGCATGCCTCAACTAGAGATTCCGCATGTTGCAACAAAGATCCCTCATGCCGCAAGACCCGGAGCAGCCAAATAAATAAATATTTAATTTAAAACATAAAACCTACTATTTAAAAAATCATTAAATAAAATAAAAAATAAAAATGGGCAAAGGATCAGTGTATACATTTCTCCAAGGAAGACGTACAAATGGCCCATAAGCACATGAAAAGAGGCTCAACATCCTTAATCATCAGGGAAATGAAAATAAAAATCAGAGTGAGGTACCACTTCACACCCACTAGGATGCCTAGAATCAAAAAGACATAGGGGGCTCCCTGGTGGCGCAGTGGTTGAGAGTCCGCCTGCCAATGCAGGGGACATGGGTTCGTGCCCCAGTCCGGGAAGATCCCACATGCCGTGGAGGGGCTGGGCCCGTGAGCCATGGCCGCTGAGCCTGAGCGTCCGGAGCCTGTGCTCCGCAACGGGAGAGGCCACAGCAGGGAAAGGCCCGCGTACCGCAAAAAAAAAAAAAGACATAATAGTAAGTGTTGATAAGGATGTGTGGAAGTTTGATACATTACTGCTGGGAATGTTGAATGATTTGTCGTTTTGGAAAATAGTCTGGTGGTACCTCAAAAAGTTAAAAACATAGTTACTGTATGACCCAGCCATTCTACTCCTAGGTGGAATTCATGAGAAAAAGCATGTCCACACAGAAACTTGTACATGAATGTTCATAGCAACATTATTCATAATAGCCAGAAGGTGGAAACAACCCGAAAGTCCATCAGTGGATGAATGGAGAAACAAAATGTGGTCCATCCTTACCGTGGAATGTTGTGCAGCCATCAAAAGGAATGAAGTCCTGGTACACGCTGCCACATGGAAGAACTGAAAACACTATACCGAGTGAAAGAAGCCAGATACAAATGGTCACATACTGTATGAGTCCGTTTATATGAAATGTCGAGAATAGGCAAATCTATAGAGACAGAAAGTAGATTAGTGGTTGCCTGGTAACGGGCACTGGAGGATGATGGCTTAGGGGTGCAGAATGGCTTTTTTTTTTTTTCTGGCTGCTGGCTGAGCAGCGTGGCATGAGGGGATCCGACTAGGGATGGAACCCATGCCCCTGCAGTGGAAGCATGGAGTCCTAACCACTGGACCGCCAGGATAGACCCCCAGAATGGTTTTTTGAGGTGATGAAAATGCTCTGAAATTGATTGTGGTAGTGATGGTTGAGCAGTTCTGTGCATTGAATTGGGCACTTTCCTGGGTGAATTGTATGGTATGTGAATTATATCTCACTAAAGCTCTAAAGAAAATGGCTCAGTCCATGATGAAACACAAAATGCCTTCAGATGGTGGCCTTCATGAGACAGACATGGAGGGGCAGAGTGTCACGTCTCAGGGAGCCAGGTTTCCAGAGATGAAACCAGAAATACGACTTGCAGCTGAAGCAGGAGCTGCTCCCTTCTCTCCCTCTCACCCTGGAATTCAAAGATGGCTCAGGGAAGATCTGGACTTCCTGGGTGGGGAAAGGGGTTTTCAGACAATTGAATGGGCTCCTAAGGGTCAGGGGATGTTAGCTGGGGTCCAGTGAACCTAAGTGAGGCTTTCACCAAGGAGTGGGACTTGTAGGTCTGTCCCTCTTGGGCTCACACGAGTGGCCCCTAAGGAACCCTGTTCTTCTTCAAGGATATTACAGTTTGTAGTTTGTTTCCCCAAATTCATATGGTGAAGTTCTAACCGCCACTACCTCAGAATGCAACCTTATCTGGAGATGGGTCATTACAGAGGGAATCAAGTTAAAATGAAGTCCTTAAAAAAAAAAAAAAGTCCTTAGTGTATGCCCTAATCCAGTATGACTGGTGACCTTATAAAAATGGGGAATTAGGAGACAGATACATGTCTAGGGAGGATGCCATGTAAACATGGAGATGGCCGTCTACACGCCTAGGAGACAGGTCTGGAACGCATCCTTCCCTCAGGGCTCTCAGAGGAACCAAGCCTGCAGACACCTTGATTTCAACTTCTAGGCTCCACCGGGAGAGAATAAATTTGTGCTGTTTAGACACTGGTCTGTGGCAGTTTGTTATGGCAGCTCTGGGTCACTAATACAGTCAGCAAGGCCATGGCCGTGCTGGGCTGTGAGGAGCTGTGGCTGCAGCTGGGAGGCAGGCCAGGCTGTGAGAGATAGGGCCAGGGAGAGCCCTGCCGTGGTGGCTCTGGATTGAGGGGCTCCCAGAGGGCTCAGGGGCATCCCCCATATCTTAACCCGCAGCTGGGTGACGTCCTTCTCCAGAGCTCCAGAAGATTCTTCAGCCTGCTGTCTCAAGTCTGGACTTTCCCTCTGCCCCTCCCCTCTCTTGAGCTGATGGGTCAGGGGTGAGGCCCGTGCTGGGCTCAGAGAGTCCCATCCCAGCTCAGGGTGGAGGGGTGACAGCCAGGGACCCTGAGTGTAAGGGAAATGCCCTTCTCAGTCCAGGCCCCTCAGACCTCTGTCGCCTCATCTTTCCTTCCTTCTGTCTCTTCCCCTCTCTGTCTCTGTTTCTGTCACACACACGCAAACACACACAGCTGACCCTGCATCCTGCCCCAGGGTGGCTCCACCCTCCCCCACCCCTCTCTCTTCTGCTCTTAAATCAGTGGATCTCAGGGGTCAGCAGACAGCCCAGCTGGGGCTCTGGCTGGAGGAGCTCAAGGTCACTGGCTCAGGAGAAGCAAAAGTTGGGGGAGGGGGCTGATCTGTAGCCAGAGGACTTTCCAGGGTGGCGGGACAGGCTGCTTCTCTGAAACCCTTTTCCTCACACCTGTTCCTCCCACTAGGTCACAGCAGCAGAACCCGGAGCCACCATGTGCTTCTCCAAAGTGAGTGAGAGCGAGTGATGGGGGGGAGATTGGGCCCTGGAGTCTCATTTCCCCGTGTCCCTCCCCCCACACCAGCCCAGCCCCCACCCCTGCTGACTGGTCCACATGCACCTGCCTCTGTCCCACCCTCCCTGGGCCCTGGGGGAGCCACCGGGGAAGCAGAGGGTCAAAGGCATGTGACCTGTGCCATCAACAGGGCCCAGTCTCACAATGACCCTGTTCGAATGCTCTGCTGTCACCATCCTGAAATTCTGCATAATTGTGGACAAAGGACCATACAGTTTTCTTTTGCTCTGAGCCCTTTCCTTTATGGAGCAGGTCCTGTTGTGGGCCAGTATTCCTGTCTGGGAGGTCAGTTATGGGGGGCAGCTCTGTGTGGGTGTCTGTGTGTGCAGGAGCACAGAGGAATTATGGGACAAGGGTGTCACTTTAGGAATTAGACTGGACATACTCGTGGGGGAGCTGGAAATGGAGGGTCTGCAGTGTAAGAGGAATCAGCCATCCCCTTGGACCCTGTCTACACCCTGGAAACCCAGGGGTTGAGGCTGGGCAGTGCTTTCCGAGAAACTTAAAAATATTCTTCTCAGGTGCCTGGCCTCACTGTCTATTCTTTCCCTTTGGGGTGCCTTCCCCCCTCCCCCCACCACACCAGTCCCCCCACCTCAATTCTGAGGGTGACCAGACCAGGGAGCTCTGGGTCATGCAACACAGGGATCGGGGAGTGGTCTTTTTGGGATGACCCAGGGCTGAGTGGTCAGGCTCAGTTAGAGGGACAGGAGATTGTTCCCACTGGCCCCCAAGGTGTTTTTTTGCCCTGTTGTGTTTAACACTGGGCTGACAGGGTGGTGCCCCTGGTGACACAAAGTGTGCAGACAGGTGCCTTGCACACGCTGTGAGTGGCACTGACCACCCAGGGGCCGGAAGGCAGTGTGGACAGCGCCAGATTGGGACCATAATGTGGAGTCTTATGAGGGGTCTGTGGGGCACCTCCCACCTCCATGGTGGAGCCAAGTGTCTGGCGGGGAGGTGCTGGGGCCCGGGGGCCTGCAGGGTCAGCGGTCAGGTAGAGCCTCAGACAGGAGAGGACAGTGCCAATTCCTCCCTGTTCAGCTCTCACCAGGACCACGGAGGGCTAGGGATCTGGGAACCAGGTTGACCCTGCACACTCAGTGGCAATGGTTCTACTTGTGTGTGTGTGTGTGTGTGTGTGTATGTGTGTAACAGGTCTGGGGGAGTTGGCAAGGTCACATAAGCCTGAGTGTCACTGTTACCTCCACAGGGAGTCCCAGATAACATTGCTGCTCTGAGGGCCAAAATGGCAAGAACCTCTTCCCCATGTATGGTTGGGGGATGCAGGAGGCCTGGGTTCTGCTGGGTGAAGCTGAGAATGTCCTGGCCCACCTGAGACGCAGGAGGGAGAAGGACCAGGCCTCTTTGTCCCAACTCTGTCTCTCTTCACAGCATGAGTGTGTGGACGACTTCTGTGATGACCTCCAAAGTCAACCCCAAGCAGAAACACAGGTGGGTCAGTGCGCCCCTACTCCCCTCGCCTCCCCAGTTTAAGTGTGGTGGGTGGTTTCTGATGATGGTGATGATGAAGGTGAAAGCTCAGCACCCAGTCTTTACACTGGACAAAATTCCTACCTGTGTGGCAGGTGAGTGCACAGGTGGGGGATACAGAGGCCCAGGGATGCTGAGGGAGGTGTCCAAGTCAGAGGGCAATTGATGGCAGGGCAGGGATGCCAGATGCCTGGTCCCCAGGCACGTGTGCTGAACCCTCACCTTGCGGTGAGGGGCCACAGATGAGAACAAGCTGGGGCTTGGGGTTTGAGACTGAAAGTGAGAGAAGGTGGGGGGATTTTAAATGGAGCGTTGTTTTCCCAGCAGGTCGAGTCAGTCCTAGCAAAGCTGGAGGTGAGTTTGGGCATTGCCCGTCCCCCAAAGAGTAGCCCCCAAGGTTGGATCAGCCAGGTTATCTGGGTTGCTGTCTCCCTTTGGACTCACCTGGATGCATGGGAGGCCACAGTGGGGACCACAGACCTCAGCGGCAGGGGCAGGTGTGCAGCCTCCACACTTCCTCTCCCCAGGACCAACTCAGTGAGAACCTGCTTGAAGCTGTGGATGCTGAAGTTCACAACAATGTACCGGTGAGTATGAACCACTGTCACAGCCCCTTGCTTCCCCTCCACCTTGCTCTCTCTCGCCGTTGGCACTGCCATGTGTGCACATAGCTCCCCTGAGTGGGGGTTGGAGGGATGGCCCCTGAGAGCTCAGGAGGTGCAGCCTTGCTGGCACTGGCCTCCCCGCCGAGCACACAGTGGCCAGAGCCCCGCCCTGAATTCACGATGATGAGCCCCGTGGGCCTGGTGCTGGGCTCAGAGGCCAGTATGCCAACAGGCAGGTACACCTCACCATGGTGGTTTACGCCTTGAGGGGAATTGAGGGGCCAGGCCCAGCCTCTGGGAAAAGTCCTGGTGTCCATGGAGCTGTTGGCAGGAAAGCAGGCAGTTTCCATTTGCGGGCTTCTGTGTCCCAGACTCTCACAAAGGCTTGGAGGCCTCAGCCAGGGTCAGGACCTGGGGCTGCATCCCCCCTAGGGGGGGTCCCTGAACAGCCTCCCATCCCTGCAGGAGCTCACCCCCGTGCTTGGTGAAGTGCAGCAGGAATTCCGTTGTAGAATCCGGAGGCCCTCTGGTACTGACAATCCAGGAGACCCGGAGAGGCCCTCTGGCTCTGACAATTCAGGGGACCAGAAGCCGGGGAAGAGCTTTCCGGACAGAGCGCTGAGGCAGTTCTGAGAATGGCTGCAGAAGCTGAAGCGGAAGTTTTTTGTTGCGCTTGCCTGCCTGCGGCAGAAGGGGGCTGCCCACCTACAGACCTTGTGCAGTGCGGTTGAGGCCATCTGGGGAGAGTTGAAGCGTTTCTTCTCCTCTGTGGGGCAGGTCTTCAAGAGCCTCATCTAGGTCTAGGGAGCCCCACAGGGTCCGGGAGGAGATTGGCCTCATGTAGAAGCCAATTTGATTTTCCCCTTCTCAGTAAGAATCTTCTGAAGCGACCTTTGCCCTCCTGCTCACCCTTGACCCATCCTTGCAACCTCCCTCACCTCCTGTCCTTCAGGGAGGACACCACCCTGCCCATCAAGCTCTCCCCACCCGGGTTTCTTTCTCCAGGTCTGACCTGCCTGTCGCTGTAGTGCTGAAATCCTAATAAAAGTTGATTGAACCAAATGGAGTGCCTGTGGGGATGGAGGCTGGGGGCCCAGTGGTGACAGGCAGAGTTCGTGGGTCAGATGGACCCAGGTGGGGGTCCTGGTTCTGGGTGAACAAGGACAAGCCACCCGCCTCTCTAATCTGTAACAAGGGACACTGGTCAAGGACTGACTCATGGTGAGGACTGGACCATCTCAGGCCACTGCATTGCTTATCGCGGTGCCTGAGGCATAGTAGGTGCTCAATAAATGCACACTCCTGGGGCACAGGGAGCTCCGGGGAGCAGCTTTGACCCCTCTTTTCTTCTCCTGATCTCCCTCTTTGGGCCTTCACCACTCCAGCTGGGGCCTCGCAGCTCCTTGATCAGAGCCCCAGGAGCCAGGGAGGGTGCACCCAATCCTGGGCCAGGAGGGAAGGCAGAGTAGGAGAGGTGGGAGTGGGGTCTCTGGGCCTGTGGCCTCCCTCACCTGGGCCTGCAAATGCAGACTGGGCGATCCAGGAGCAAGGCCTGAGGGCCAGCCATGCTCACCATCTCTGAGGCCAAATTCCCTTCCCCCCAATCTCTCCAACCTCACCCCGCGCGCAGCCCTGACTTCCTGCCTCAGGGTGCTCACAGAGTAGCTTTTCCTTTGGGGATTCTCTGCAACCCACTCTTCCTCCCAACCCCTGAAGGGCTGGAGCTTCCCTAGGCTCAGAGCTTTCCCTCCCAACTGTGCCTGAGAACCACCTCTACTTTTCCCAGATTTGGGGCTGGTTCTCCTTCAGTTCTTTGAACTTTGGTTGATGAGTTCACTTCCTTTCCACAAGCATTTGCTAAGGAGCAGTCTTGTGTCAGGTTGGTGGAGGGGCAGTAATTAAAATATAATATTTTTTGAGTGAAAAGTGACAGACAAAAGCAGGTGTATGTGTGTTCTGGAGCTGGGGTGGGCAGCTTTTCTCTCCTGTATTTTTAGCAGAAGTCACATGATTTAAAATCTGTCCACCAGAGGGAGAGGCAAACCAAGTCAGCCTGATGGGCAGGAAGAAGGTGGGGCAAACCTACAAGGCAGCTTTGGGTTTAGAAGAGTATGATGGTTAGGGGTCCCCAACTGTCAACCTGACTTGGCTGTGGGCAGGCTAGTTTCTCCTGTTAGCATTTTCAGTTAGAATTAGTTACCAATGTTACAGAAGAAGAGGTTTCCTGTATTAATCCAGAATCTGGGATTTTAAGTTTTATTCATTTTAATTAATTTAAACAGCCACATATGGCTGGAGGACACTGTATTGGACACGGAGGGTTAGTGGTAGACTCCAGAGGAGAAAAAATTCCTGGGTGAGATTGGTTGGCCTTACCAAGAGCTGCCTGTGACAGAAACCCTCCCCCCAACTCCCAACACACACACACACACACACACACACACACACACACACACACACACACA